TATATACAGAATGAAAATTGTGGATCGTTTTTAAACAATGTTCGAGTTGAATATTTCATACGCAGTTTAGAAAATGGGCACTCGTAGGTGTCGTAGCAATAAAACAGATTATTTTTATTCTGTTTCTAAGTCATGTCACGTAAGTATTAAGTGAATTATACCCTATTTTGTAAAATTTGGGGGAAAAATCTCTAGTATGCATCAAATTTGGTTGATTTTACGTTTATACAGTGCTGATTTTTCAGAAGTCATAACTTTTTATTTTACTCGTAATGAGTTACGGGGGCCATAATATATCAAATCGAAAATATTTCAGAGCTCTATATTCTCAATTCTCAAACTTTCAGCGGGGTCGGCTGACCACCCTGACCCCCCTTGGCTTCGCCCCTGAATTTCACACGGGTGAAAAATACAAATACCACACTAATATGAGGCGGCTAGCCAACATCGAGTGAATTGGACTAGGAATGTAGGATGAATGATTTTTTTAAAACTAATTAAAATTAATGGTATTAAATACTCGTATCTTTCAGTCATCCATTATATACAATGTACTTCTTCAACAAACATTTAACATTTCTAAAACACTATTAACTTTTGTCACTATTCATTTTCATATAATTTCTAAAACAAATCAATTATATTACGTTTACTTTTGAGAAATAACTTACTTTAAAGGTTATATGATTAGTAGTCAAAGTCTAGTGTGGAAAATTAATTTCTTTATGTAATAAGATACTCCATATATATATGAAAAGTAACTTTAAACAACAGTCATATCCATCTCCTTATAGCTTTAAGCTGAAAGCCTTAAACTATTTAAATCGAAGAGGAGAAGTACATATTTGAAAATGTTAACGCAAAAGATTGGAAAAGACCTATCTTTTGCAAATTTCCCTTTAATGATTCAAGACAAGATTAATACGAGTAGTTTGTGAATCGTGGGCTTTTCTCGGCCGGCTAATTACTCCAAAACGTGATTAGCTACCTACCTTTAGAATACCAATATTTGCTTGAAGTATGCAAGAAAGACAACTACCAAACAATAAGTGGATTGGTGACTCCAAAGATTTTGTCTCTACCTTAACTTTTCCAAATCCTTGGCTTTCATCGGTCAAAGAGGTTGGTCGCAAATCGCAAGGGGAGGATTCGTGGAGACGTGACACCACCTGTGCAAATAATAAAACTTATAATTAAATTTATAAATTATGACCATGAAATTGGAGTAAATTACTAAATTTTCGAGAAAAGATTCATGAGCACAAAAAATATACGAGTATATTTTTGACTAGGAACGTGCTCCATATATAGAAAGTACATTGATGAGATTGAATACACGGAGTGATAATCAATGCAAAGAGAAGAAATTTATGTTTGGGAGTAACATGAGATTCACCTTGAATAATTCTCCCCCGCCCCCTAACTTTGTCCCGTTTTACCTTTTTCGTCCGTCCTATTATGTTTGTCTCATATCATATTTGATAATATTTGGGTGGTTACAATTCATTATTACTTTATTCACACTTTATCAATTCAATATCAACTACACAATTCCATTTTTTCTTAAAAGTTGTTACACACCCCTTTGTCCCAACTCCCAAACATAGTGGGACCGAAGTAGTACTTTATTGGCGTTTTTAATGTATATTATCAAGTGGAGGTTGAAAGACAAAAGTGTCTAAAGATGTTTTTACTCGGACTAAAATTTTCTGATCTAGTCTAGTCTGGTCTGATCCAATCTGGTAAATGTCTAGTCCCTTTCGATCTATTTTACAACTGTTCAAGTCTGGTCTGATATGAGACTGAAAATAGTTCTAAGTAAAAACATTCTAAAAAGGTTATCCGCGTGCCTTTGTAATGTGGTAACTACCATAAATATAATGGATAGACATTACCCACCAATTCCATGCAAAAACCAATTCCATGCAAAAACAATCAGAAGAATTAAATAGCATATGCAGTGTGTTACTAAAAGCCATAGTTTAGGAGCATTCAAATTTTCTTGAACTCAGTGATATATCAATGACACCACATGAACTCAGCCACAACACAGTGACACCATCGCCCTTACGTAGTGACCACCGATCGGTGTAACTGGAACACAGTGATTGGGTCATGCGTAGTGACCACCGTTCACCTACATACCTTGGTTCAATAAGCTACTAATAACTCCAACTCAAAGCTTCTTAGAATTGGTTTGCAAATGCTTTAAAAAAACATTTTTCAGTTTTTGGCTTAAAAAAGCACTTATTTTACTAAACACTACCAACTTTTATTTTTCTCAGCTTTCGTGTCAAAAGTGCTTTTACTTTTTCTATTACACAAAAAGCACTTACTTTACCAAACACTACCAACTTTTACTTTTCAAAATCACTTTTTCTCAAACACTATCAACTTTTATTTAATCACTTCTCCCCATTTCATTAAAAAAACTTTTTTTAAAGCAGAAGCTGTTGCAAATCCATTAATCAGATAGTGACTATGGACTTAAGCGCTGACCGTTCCACTTTTTAATGGAAAAAAAGGATGAAAAGAAAAAAAATGGAGAAAATGAAAAATTATAAGGATACAGATCGGGAGAAGGTGAAGAGAACATGAAAATGCTTTAGGTACACATTTTGTGTACACATGTCTGTCCTTCACAGACAAATTGTCTGTCACAGACAACTTGACTGCATGTGACAGACAACTTGTCTGTGAAAGAGAGACATGTGTACACCAAACGTGTACACAAAACGTGTACCTCTAGCAAGACCCAAGACAACATCGTGTACGGGGATGATGGATTCGACCATCAGTCAGTCTATGGGTGCCATTTTTCTACTTTATTTTACTTATCACTAGTATTTAAATGCAGATATTATAAATTGAACTTATAAACACATTTATAGACTGTTAATTTTTATTGAAGTTTAATAAGCACACTTTACAAATAATAGATTTTAGTAAGCGACATTTTTTACATTTTTTTCTATCATCGTCACATACCATGAGCTTCAAGCCGGACAAATTTATCACCCTCGCGTTACAACATACAATATTCCATACATAAAAACTGGACGTCACGAGAAATCACCCAGTCTCCAATTATTGTCCTCGACCCTTGTTCACTGTCATCGCATAACTAACCATCACGAGGAATTATCTACACATAAATGTGAAAAGGAGCTTTACATACATTCGTGGGCGCATCTAAAATAAAAAACTCAAATTCTTTTCTTTTCTTTTCTTTTTTACCAATGATCATATTCTGGAGGATAAGCATAGCAATGTTTAAATAAATCAAATCGAAGTAAACAATGAAAAAAATAGAAACATGCATATATATAGTAAGATGCAAAAAAACAACACAAAAAACTTCACAGGATAATCCAGCAATCATCAACAAATAAAAAGAAAGGAGAACATTCACAATCAAGATTAGAAACTCTCAAAACAGTAAAAAAGAATTGGACGTAACAAATATCTTAATGCCTCTTATTGATTTTTTAAAAAGGTTAGGCCATAGGACATAAACATATGACTATCACAAACCCCGTGATTGACCCCACAAATCCTACACAAAAGTGTCCAAAACGAATGAATTCCAGTCAAATAAAGAGTTCTCAATTATTTAGAAATAAGCTGAAATACATGTGAGTTTTAAAGGGAGTTTTACTATAGGCAAACCGAAAAACTCAAAAGTCTACCAAAGTTCTTTTGAAATTTTATAAGGTTTAAGATATACAACTGTTTCCCAAAACTCTGTTTATATAAGTTTTGTATAAGGTACATGAAAATGTGGATACATGCCACAAAATTGAATCCACTTGCACCTCAAAATAATAATTTTCACAATTTTTGTTGTTGAAGTAATTAGGCAATGACAACTAATTAACCCCATATTGCAATTCAAAGATCAATTCACACCTCTAAACATATTCTATAAATGGGATTACAGATTTTCAAAGATGGGGAGGATGTAGCTGAAAATACACAGTCACAAATAAGAAAATAATTAAGGAAAAAGTACGGATAACCTACCTGTGGTTAAGGTCATTTGCGGAGAGGGTCCTGCGTTTAACTTTTTCCCAAACTAATAGTCGTGGTTTAATTCCGTTAGCGCCACAGGGACTCAGCCCATTGGCCGCTAATAAAGGCTGACGTGGATATTTTTTTTATCCAATTGGATTCCGCGTGGGGTGTGGTAGGGCCATGTCATTAAAACCCTTTGACTTCAGTCATTTAATATGTTTAAGCAAGGTTTAATAAGAGGAACGATAGGGCTGGAGCAATTCTAACGATGAGTTATTCGAAATCCAACTCTAGTGCAAACAGCAGGAGGATGGACGGACGAAGTGAATGGATTACGAGGTGCGACTGTGGTATCCAAGCTTCAATCTGGACAGCTACGACGGAGAAGAACAAAGGGAAAAATTTTCATGGGTGCGGTAGATATTTTGCAGGTGGGGCTGAAAAATGTCAGGAAACTCTGTGGTCTCCCATTCTTCTTTACTTGGCACAGGGTGAATGATGTGTTCATAGACAGCTAGGTATGTGGCTTTTGAGTAATATGAGCTGACATATGTCTCTGGTTTTTCCCTATTAGCAAATATTGCACATATGCCATGCTTACATGGAATTCCATTTAAATCCCACATTCTACATGTGCAACTTTTTTCTTTCAAATTGACCACATGACTAGTACTCCCTCCGTCCCAAAATCGTTGGCCAATGTTGACTTGCACGTGGATTAATAAAGTAAAAACTGTGTGGTTAAAATTTGTGCAGAGGAGAGAGAATTAACTTTAGCCACATATTCCTTACTTTAAATGGAAATGGCCAACCTTTTTGGGACGGCCAAAAAAGGAAATTTGGCCAACCATTTTGGGACGGAGGGAGTATCATAAAAATCCACCTCATACAGTTTATCCCCAGCTGGGGTGGCATAACAGTTCCTACTTTCATATTTCAATTTCTCAAGGAGATCCTGTTTATTTGGACATATATCACCTTTATAGTTCAACATTGCAGTGTACTTCACATGAAATCTCTTCATCATCCTTTTCCTTATCCATTCAAACATGCTAAGTATGGGCATAGATCTAGCTCTAAGAATGTATGCATTAAAGGACTCACACATGTTGTTTTGAAGCGCGTCAGAATGAGCATGTGGAGAGAAATGAGCCCTACTCCATGTCTTGGGATCATATTGCATCAACCAGTTGTAGGCAGCCTCATCAAAGGTCTTGATCCCCTCCATTCTTTTCTGCCATGACCTCAAGCTCCCTGTGCTTGCAGCTAACCACAGTTTCTTCTTGTACTCCCCAGCACTGAAGACTTTGCGAAAGTTCTCATACATATGTCTTACACAATACCTGTGCTCATTCTTCAGATTTACTGCCTTAAAGGCCTCAACTAACCCCTGAAAGATAAAAAAAAGTAGAGACCAAATAGGGCCTGAAATCAGAGTGAAAAAGAATGGAAGACATAACACATATAAATTGAAGTAATATAATATCCTAACACACATAAGAACCAGATTTAAGGTAAAATAATACCTTTTGCTTGTCAAACATAAACACCCAATCAGTCTCTTCTGGTCTTCCAAAATCTTCAAACATCACCTCAAGAAACCATGTCCAAGATGCTTTGTCTTCACTATCAACATAAGCAATGGCTATAGGAAACATGTTTTCATTTCCATCCCTAGCAACTGCACACAACAGTTGCCCTCCCATAGAAGTCTTCAAATGACAGCCATCAAGACAGATCAAGGGTCTTATACCAGAAAAATAACCTTGCTTTTGTGCTGTGAATCTCATGTACATGTATTGTAACATGGGCAGCTCTCTGGGTACCCTATGAACCCCTTCTTCACCACCACCAACCTCTTCCTCAACCTCCCTGAGCTCAGTTTTTATCTTAACAACACTGCCAGGGTTAAACTTGATGACAGTTTCAGCATAATCTCTCAACCTCCAGTATTCACTACAACAAAATGAGCCTTTTGTAACACAGATATATTGTTACATTAGATGGATAAAATGTTACAAAAAGCTTAAGCAACACTTTTATGAGCGTTGCTTCAGGTCTCGTTGCATAAAGTCATATGCAACACTTTTTAACATTTTATGTAACATTGAGAAAAGATGTTACAAAAACAAACCATATGCAACACTTTTTTACAAAAGCTTAGTTTGCATCTTATGCAACACTTTTTTTAATAATATGCAACACTTAAAATATGACTTTAGGCAACATCAATCTTATGTTTATGTAACATATTTATAATATCTTTTTGCAACATTAATGGATATCAATTAATGATTTCACCCGTATTTTACGAACAGATTAATATGCATTACTTCCGGAGTATTATTTTAGTTGATTGTGATACCTCTCACTTTTTACATGTAACTATTTCATACGGAGTAACTTTTTAACCATGACTGTGACTTGCATTTCAATGTACAATTAAAAGTGTATATATATTAGCATAGGCATTACCATTTTTCCCTCAAGGAAAGTTGAAATTTATCACCATCAAGTCATCAACATTACATCTTAAAGGAATAATCAATAGTAATAAAATAAATTTACAGTGGCTAGAAATTAACTAAAATATATCTTAAAAGTCTTTGTGCTGAAGAGAAAGACTCCAAATCATTGAATCACCCCAGTATATGGCACCATAATTCTGTGCATCATAATCTTTCTAGCATTTCTCTGCAAGAGACATAAAAAGAAAACGAATTAAACATAACAAAAGTAAATAAAATGAATCACAAAAAAAAAGAATATAAAAACTATAATCAAATCAAATTTTATTGAATATGAAGTACATATTACTATAGTGATCCAGAGTAACGTAGCACAATTACAGTTACCTGATCACTTTGTCACACAAGTTCTCATGTACCTATAAATATAAAATACATTAGATTAGAAAGAGGAAATTGTATCATTAAAAAAAAAGTAATTCCTTACCTTATTGTGCTGGTCAGTATTGTGTCTATAATATTTTTTTCATGACAACACCCTGCCATTTGTTCCTAGCTTTCAGTATTGATTTTCCCTGAAATTAAAAAAAATCAGGTTCAAAATATTAACTATGTTAAAGTAAATACTTATAATAACAAGAATAATAATGTAATGATAATAAGAAAAGTAAATCATAAACTTAGCTGATCCAACATCTTTCACAGTTATGATTTTGAGATCCAAGAATACATGTCTAAATGAGACAACAAAGCTAAAAAAGATGCATAAAAAATAAAATAAAATAAAAACTAAAAAAGATGCATGAGTTTCTTTTCCATGAATCATGTATACCCTTTATTTGGATGCACCACCAAATCAGCTTTGTAAGCATATTTCATTTTTAATCTCATAATATGCAACCCATTTTTTTACCTAACATAAACAAGTGATTGATAGTAGTTGAAAAACATCTTTAATAAAATTCCTGTGAGAACTCAAATGAGACTATTGAAAGCCTTTATCTTATGAATTTGGATGATCATCCTCTAATTTAAAATGAGAAATATGGTCTGAACTATAAGTTACTGTCAATATAGGAAGGCATGGTTTTCTGAACAAAAACTCAAAATCAAGATATTCTTATGGAAGTTTTTGAATTCCTACCTTTTTCATAAAACTTGAGAATATTTCAGATTCAAGGACAATCCTGGTGTCTCATATGCTTTAAAGAAGAACAAACTCAGCAACATTGTGTTTACACTTGTCCTAAAGTAAAGCCTATATGGGTTTACTGTATGGGAATATTGCAGGTTGGTGTTCCTGTTAACAAGAAATAAGGCTTATTTAGATCGAGGCTTGGAGCAGATCGGACTACACTAACAGGATACTTAAGGGCGTTATTCCAACAATAGTTCTTTAGCATCTTTGCAAAGGAATAGCTACAACTGAAGCCATTTGGGATGATCAACTGTTTAATGCAATTCAAATTCATTATCAAATAAAAGCATACAATCATGATTCATCAATGGTGTGGAAGCTTTACCATGCAAAATCTCTCAATTTTAATCAAGATTTATACCAGGATCTATTTCTCATTCCCAAAACTCTAAGAGACAGTCAACCCAGAATTTTAAGTTTGGAAGAAAATTCACCTTCTTATGTTGAATGTCAATGCATATTACTCTAATGGAAGGAGCGTAGAGGGGCGGTTCTTCAAGACAACAAAAGGATGCAGCCCCATTTATCACTCAATTCTCCAGGCTAAAATGAAAGCCATTGTCACAATGATTAAAGGGTGTGAAACTTTAGTCTATACAGATTACAAAATAGAAATAGACCCTGAAGCAATCTTCAAGAATAATATGGCTAAGGAAGCTCACCACAACAACAAAAAGAGAATTTCACAGGTATATTTTCTTCTGCTTTGAATTCTCATGTTGGTAATATTTAAGATCTGTCTCAAATTTAAAGCCACAAAACAAATCTTGGATCAAAAGTATACAAAAACTATACCGAAATTATACGGAAACGAAGACAAAGTATAAAAAATTAAAAATTTATTGCATATTTTAAAATCATTTTACCTGAATATGGATGGAGAGCAGCGGAGGAAGGTGATATAGCAGAGGAAGAGCAGCGGCAGGTGCAGAGACGGCGGCACGTGCAGGAGAGGCGGCAGACGCCGGGACAGGGCGGCAGCAAGTGCAGGAACGGCGGCAGGCGGAGGAGCGACATCAGGCACATGAGGGACGGAAGGGACTGGAGCGGCGGCAGGGACCGGAGCGGCGGCAGGCGCTTGAACGGCGGCAGGCGCTTGAACGGCGGCAGGCGCTTGAACGGCGGCAGGCGCTTGAACGGCGGCAAGCGAAGGAGCTACGATTTCGGCCAGATCTGGTCGCTATGGTGTTTTGCCTTGCGATATGCGATGGTTTCTGGCTTTCTGCGGGTCTCCTAATCTCCTTTGCTTTTCTTTATTAGAAAAGATCCAATATTGTAAATTAGGACTAAAGAGTAAAGAGTATTATTTTCAAAAAAAAAAAGAAGAGCAAAGAGTATCTTATTGCCGTTAAATTGGACCAATTGGTTTTTACTTTATGTTTATATAAATATAAATTGAGTTGCATCCAATTGAATGTAATACCACTAATACGGAGTATTATTTAATCATGTTACATAGGTTTTATTATAATTACGTTTATTGTTTTTAGCAACACTTTCAAATAAATGTTACATAATAGTTGATAAGTGTAACACTTTTTAATAAGTGTTGCATAATTTGAATAATTTAGACGTTTTGCAACACTTATATATAATTGTTGCATAATGTTAATCGGTGACATTATAGGTAACAAAAATAAAAGTGTTACAAAGAAAATGTTACAAAAAGTCATTTTTGTTGTAGTGATTGCTCTTTAATGTCACCAGTAATCTTGGCCTTAGCTTTAACCCTAGCTCTGTAGCACATGGCTAGACTGACTTCTGCACGCAACTGTCTTTGAATTGTTTTTTGCATAGCATTGACATCCCAGTCTGGGTTGTCCCTTAACTCATCCAAATATTTTTCACTCAAATACGTGCTACTGATTAAACAATTTCTATTAGTAAAAGGACAGTCATGCTTAGGTCTAAAAGTTTTGATTTCAAAATAAGGAGCATCCCTAAGCTGTGAACCATGGACCCTGAATGAACATGTTTCCTTATTTTTACATACAACAGAGATATTGGCTCTAGTGTTCTTCTGATATGTGAAATCAAATCCAGCTTTGATAGCCCAATCCTTTAGTGCTTTTCTGAATTCATGATGTGAAGAAAATTTCATACCTTTGCGCAAATCACTGACCTTAGATGTGGTTCCATAGGTAAACTGACCATGCCCAGCCTCATCATCTGATGATCCCCTGATTTTGCTTCTTCTGCTTTTTCTGCTTTTTCTGCATTTTCTGCCAAGTCCTCTTCTAATTCATCTATTGCCTCATGGAACAACTCTTCCTCACTTCCTTGTAGATCTTCATACAACCAGGTGGTTTCACTAAGGTTGGAATCAGACTGGTAAATAGAAGAGCTATCACTCACAGGGGTTGAGCACTGATAATCTTCATCTGGCTCACTTTCCTCACCAAATTGGATTCCTAAAATAGTAGGGCTTGGATCAGTTGGATCTTCAGATTGGGTAATTGGTGGAGTGTGGTATATTGGTGGACTTTGGGTAGGCAATGTAGTGTGGGCTTCCTCTGAAGTTTGGGTAGGCAATTGACAGTGGGTTGCCTCAACAGTTTGGGTAGGTAAAGAAGTCTGGGCTGCATTTTTGGAATTAGGTTTGGGGGGCTTTTTGAAAAATTCCCCTTTTTACTATTTTTAGAAACAAAATAGACATCAATGTGTGGGTCCATGATCTTGCAAACCAACATGTCCTGCACATCTTTATCACAACCAATTTCTTGCAAAGAAACAGGCCCACACATCTCACTAAACCTTCTAAACCACATATCTACCCCATTCATATAACCCAAGTCCTGAGCATACCCATCTAACTCAAACTTACTAAGGTAGTCTATGTCCACATTCTCCATTTTCTTTACCTCACCTCCCAAATATTGTTTCTTCTTCTTCGGACAATCCCATTTCCCACCATGGTGAATCCACAGGTTCACGTGCTCATCGTCCATTCCCAGCCTCTACAAAAAAATCACAAAAATAACCAAAACTAAACATTTAATTCCATCTGTGCTTCATCCCTAACTTTAACGACGCCACACACAATAACGAAACCCAAATAGTACTTCAATCTATGTAAAACGACAACAGTGAAGTAGCTTTCATGAGTATTAAACTGACCTGAAGAGCAGCAACAAGAAATTTTGAGTGAGCTTCTTCTTCTTCGTAGAATAACCGCGCCCTAAATTGTCGTTTGGTACTGTAATCCGTTTGTAGCAAGTAAAACAGGCCCGCACTTAAGTCATATTGCACATGTAATTCAAATTAGATTCTGACGT